ATTGGGGATTTTATGTTTCCCTAATTATATTGTTCATGCCTTTTTTAGTGTAGTAGACGTTCTGTGTTCTTACGTTTTGCTCCTTTGCTTTTTTGTTTTTGGGGTTTATTATTCTCTCTAATTTTAAAGAGAATTTTGACTTGAACCTGAATACTTTTGCAGAGACTGATGCAGAGGCAGCCACAGGTAGTAAGTTAGCTGAAAGAAGGCAAATTAGGATGTCCAGGGCCAAAGTTTTTTTTCTTTTATTTCTGTTCTGTTCGATATGATGAAAAAAAAATGTGGGTTTAGGTGCGGGGCTTCTCCATCTGTCTTGATATAGAAGAAATCTTTGAAAGATTTTTTCCTTTGGATCCCGTTGAATTATTGACATTTTGTGTTCTTTTGCAGTTACAATCTACAGTGGTGGAGGGTTAAGATTATTGTTTACAAGTGTCTTGTACTGTGTTTTTTTGGCAAAAAATGGTGCCACGAGGGCCTTCAACTCCTCTTGGTGGAGGAACCCGGCCTGTTCAGCCTTCACTACTGCGTTCTAATTCGGGTTTGTTGGGTGGTCAGGGGGGTGGGATGCCTTCCCAGAATTCATCTGTGTCTCTAGTATTGCCACACACCCAGTTTAACAGTATTAACATGCTTGGGAATGTGCCTAATGTTTCTTCGTTGCTCCATCAGTCTTTCGGTAATGGGGGTCTAAATTCTGGGCTCTCTGGACCGGGGAGCTCCCAACGGGGAAATGTTGATGGTGGGGCTGTGCCCGATCCACTTTCCACTGCTGGAAATGGAGTGGGATTTAATCCTCCTTCCTCATCATATACATCTTCTTCTATAACAGCCAACCAAAATTCAACTGGTCAAGTTCAAGGGCAACAACAATATGCAACCCCTTCTGGCAATCAGACTTTAATGGATCAGCAACAGCAACAGCAACAGCAACAAGCCCAACAATTTGATCCCCAAAATTTTCAACAGAATCAGCATCAGTTGCAGCAGTTTTCTGCTCCCGGCAACCCCCAACAACAGCAGCAGCAATTCCACAAGATGCGAGCTGGATTAGGAGGCGTAGGACCTGTTAAGCTGGAGCAACAAGTGACGAATGATCAAACACCACAGCAGTTGCAAACTTTGCGGAATCTTGGTACTGTAAAATTGGAGCCACAGCAGATGCAAGGTATCAGAAGCATGCCACCTGTCAAGATGGAACCTCAACATTCAGAACAGTCATTGTTTTTACATCAGCAACAGCAGCAGCAGCAGCAGCAGCAGCAGCAGCTCCTCATATCCAGACAGTCCCCTCAGGCGGCTGCAGCTGCACAGATCTTGCATCAACAGAGGCTAATGCATCTCCAACATCAGCAACAACAGCAACTGTTGAAGGCTATGCCTCAACAAAGACCCCCATTACAAGCACAATTTCAACCAAATTTGTCAATTAGATCTCCTGTAAAACCAGTGTACGAGCCTGGGATGTGTGCTCGGCGATTAACACATTATATGTATCAGCAACAACACAGACCTGGAGTAAGATATTATTTTAGCTAAGTTATTCACTTTTCAGGAAAAAAGGAAGTTATGATACAGTCTTTTGTTGGATAGATTTTATATGAGTTCACGAGCAGCAGTTATGACGAACTTATTTTGTAGGACAATAATATTGAGTTCTGGAGAAAATTTGTTGCCGAGTATTTTGCTCCCAATGCCAAGAAAAAGTGGTGTGTTTCCATGTATGGAAGTGGCCGTCAAGCTGCTGGAGTTTTCCCTCAGGTCTGTTGGACTGTAGGCAGGATAATGTTTTGACTTCTGCCAGGACTGTACTGTTCTAGTTATGCTACTATTGGTACTTTTAACAATAATAATTTCTGAGGCAAATGTTGTATATCATTTGTCGCTCTCCAATTTGTTATTATCTATAATTTAGTGTTTCTTTGATGTGCTGTTTAATCATTGTTGACATGTATGCAGGATGTTTGGCACTGTGAAATATGCAATCGCAAGCCTGGCCGCGGATTTGGTATGATTCCTGCTGGATTTTGAGATGTTATTATAAATTCTTTTCCCATTGTGCGATAGCTTGTATTTTGTAGTGTTCTATTTACAATTATATTGCTTTATGGGGACATTTGGGATTGAATTTATCTTGACGTGTTCTTTGCTGAGATTTCCTATTTCGGCTTGTTTAAACTATCCCACCCACTGGTAACACCAACCCTTGCCCATCTATTGAAAAGAAGAAAAATGAAGAAAAAAACCAAAAGCAAACAGAAAAGAGAGAGGATGAATGACAAGAGGTAAACAAATGAATTGAACTAATTCAGTGCTTGATGTTTGCTTGTGTGTTCTTCCAGAGGCTACTGTCGAGGTTCTGCCTAGACTTTTCAAGATAAAATATGAAAGTGGTACTTTGGAAGAGTTACTTTATGTCGATATGCCCAAGGAGTATCAGAATTCTTCTGGACAAATTGTATTAGATTATTCAAAAGCCACCCAAGAGAGTGTCTTTGAGCAACTTCGTGTTGTTCGCGATGGTCAACTTCGAATTGTGTTCTCTCCAGACCTCAAGGTTACACCATAACCCATTTTTTTCTACATTTGCTTTAGACCTATTGGCCTAACATTTTGTTTACAACTCTGCTTTGGCAGATATGCTCCTGGGAGTTCTGTGCTCGGCGTCATGAAGAGCTTATTCCTAGAAGATTGCTCATACCGCAGGTTAGACTTTGAACCTGACCACTGTTATTAAGTCCGTGTATACAACAATTTCGCATGTCATTTCAAGTGTGTAATCAAGGCAGGGAGACACATTTTACGCTTTAAATTCTTTTGGGTGACAAGATTATCTTATTTTTCCCAACTTGTAAGTTAGATCTGATATTTTGTAAATTGTATAAATGGTTGTCAGTAGACTACTGAAATGTTCTTATTTGAAGCTTGTTCTGGTGGTAGATCAACACACGTCTTAGTTTGAAAGACTTATCTTTTTTTAAATTAAAGTGATTTTATGAGACTAAGAAGATGATATTGTAATCGTTTCTTGCCATCAATACTGCATATTGTATTTACTCTCGTTCCATTCTTTGCTTCACAATCTGCCAAAATTTTTATAATGGGAGAAACACGGATAAAACTGAAAGTGGGTCATCAAAGAGAATAACATGTCAGTTAATTGTAGTTATGGTGTTGAAATCTTGTTCTAGTTGTCTAGATTTACCATCTTAGTTTCTGTAACATCTTCTTGTACATGACCTTATTTACTTCTGTCTGCCGGTCTGGGCAATTTTGAGTTACATATCTGTAGTTTCCAGCTTCTGATTTGTATGTGCCCACTGCTGCTTTATGGTTTCAGGTCTTTTATATTGTTAATTTGGCTACCACTGTGCACCAAGTGGTACACTTCCATTCACGTGTTCATCGTGGTACTATAATCGTATCTCACAATGTTGATATACAATGCAGATTAGCCAACTTGGTGCTGCTGCCCAAAAATACCAGGCTGCAACCCAGAATGGATCATCGAATGTATCTGTTTCTGAATTACAAAATAACTGCAATATGTGAGTTTAACTTGTTATTTACAAGAGACTTGTAATAGAGCTTCATATATGCTTATGTACAGTAAATGGATACATTTAATATTATCGATAGGCTGGACTTGCCCTATTCCATTATCAAAAAGACCTACTCCAGGTGATATATCAATGACAGGATGAATGTACTGGTTGCTTTATAATTGGTTAACTTGTTCAAATGCAGTTTTATAAAAATATTCCTATGTACTTACTTTCTATGTATTATCTATTAGAAAATATTTAGGTCTACTAACATTAAGTGTATAGATGTATAAGCGAGAAAGTAAGGAATTATTGAAATGGATATGAGACCTGTCTTACTTTTCCTTTCTTGTCAATGCTTGGATGATAAGGGAAGATACTGAATTACTGGGACTCATTTTATTCTGCTTCAATTGAACATTAGTAAGGGAAGAAGTTTTGTACCTATGAGGTTTGAGATTTTACAGTCACAGGAGTCCCTGAAACCATCAATTTCTCTCATAAGAAAAGAAAGAATGAGGCATGAATCAAGGCCATCCCCGCTGGCCTATCTTGTCTTATGTGGATCACTGATGACTGCTGACGCTGCAGCAGGATCCAATTGATATTATTCTTCGGTTTAATTATGCAGATCATGTATTTCCTTGTATTTATTGTATTCTTCTGTGAACCATGTAAAAACACTTGAACGGATAATAGACATAGCTACTAACTAATACGTGCTCAAGACAAGCTCATTGTCTAAAAATAATGTAGTTACTAGTTACGTCTATGCTTCATTTGTGATTAAACTTCAGTTCCAATAGAGGGCTTCAACAATTTCTGCTTTTGCTTCTCAATAGAGCAATGAATGTTGGTAATGATAGTAAGTCAGTAGTTATTTATACAGCTTTTGGATTAAATGGATCAGTGACTCATGAAGGACCACAATTACGTGGGTGTCAATTGCATTTGACAGATATGGGACAAGAACCTAGATATTATATGATGTTATTTGGCATGCTATGGAAGATAAACTAACTAAACCATTCATTTATGGAACTCTGAATGATTTTATATTCTCTCTCTAAACTAGAGAGAATTCGTGTAAATGTCAGCGGGTAATAGAAGTCTGTTATGGAGATCATGCCACCTGATCCATTATGTCGAGCTATCTTTTGCATTTCTTTGACAAATACACTAGAGAGATATTGTTAGAAAAAATATGTTTCTTATTTGTCGTTTATTTGGTATCATGGACTTGGAAGCTTCCAGTCAGATTTGAATTAAAATTTCTCGAGTTCGAATTTCAAGGTGCCAATCCTTTGCCACCTAACGACTTAAAGATTTTTAATTAATTTTTTCTTCACAGATAGATTAAAGATCGGAGAGATTTAAATATATTTTTTAAACATCAGGTTTTAACATTCTTATGTAGGACTCTTCGGGATGCTATTACCAATTTATAGTTGGACGGGATTTTTGGGTTTCTTGGTAATGATATGTGGGCATAAATTCTGATGTGCTGTTTTTTTTTTTTATCTCAGTTAACTTTTTTATGCTTGTGTGAGAGGAGAATTTAGGAAATAACTAAAACTGGAAAGTATTTGGACACCACGTCTATTTTTATTCTCAATATTGATTTAATATTCTGGTATAGTCCGTACACGCTAATTTCTTTTATTGAATTGATTCGCATTAAAACAAAATTCACTTGATTGCTACATAACATACATATACACTTGCTTATTCAAGTCATTATACTTATTAAACATTATCGTGATTACAAAAAATATCTATTCTTATTGTTAGTATCACTATTTAAAAAACTATTTGATGCCTATGCCTCAAATCCCACCTCACGTGAGGCTTTCATAAAATACCTCAAATCCTACCCCTTCAGTGCCATTTGTGAGGCTTACGCCTCAAGATGACTAAGTTGTTTGCCTCTCTGTCTTGCATTTTCCGCACATTCTATTAATCGCCTTAGCTTCTTGGGCTATTTTCTTTTCTTTTATTGATTTATTTATGTTTGTTTGCAAGCTAAACTTTTAATTTTGTTAATTTGTTTTACTATGGATATTTTAGACCGCGTATGATTTATTATGAGTATATTTTTGTACTTTTTATGTTATTTTGAATTATTTATTAGTCTATCTCGAGGCTTACACCTCAAAGCGCCTCGAGGCTTACACCTCAAAGCGCCTCGAGGCTTACGCTTCAGTGCCGGATTAAGCCTTTTTAAAAATTGCTTAATATTAATGGAATAGTCAGGAATAGGGATCCATAGGTGCTGATTTCTTTAAATGAATTGATCCCCATTAAAATAAACATCACTTGATTGATGTATAATTTAAGCGTAGGCTTACTTATTCAAGTCATCATCGAACTTTATCATGATTATTTACCTATAATTTTTAATTCGTAGGTTTGTTGCATCAGCTCAACAGGTGGCAAAAGCTTTGGAAGTTCCGTTGGTGCACGATTTGGGATGTACAAAGCGATATGTTCGATGCCTACAGGTAACGGGCTTTATGCTTCACACTAACAAATTCTCCTTTCAGGAATTGGACGTCCTGTTAGCACCTATTGTATCTCGTTTTGGGAGATTTGAAATAAGCACGTGAAAAAAAGTACTAATTTGTCATTGCATGTTCGTTTATTTCTCCGCCTTTAATTCCTCGAGTCTTGTTCTCTTAATGTACTAGTGATCATGGATGCAACCTTACAATAACCAGAATTATAGAAGAGAGAAGAGACAAGAAAAGGAGAAAGGGGAGAAGATATAGAAGAAAGGGGAAGAGGAGAAGGGAAGGGGATAGAGAGCAACACACGAGAAATGGGGGAGTGAGGAGAGAGAATTATTGACGTCAAAGTGTAACTAAAACAAAGTACTAACTCTCATATTATAGGGTTTTACAGAGTCAAATATAATTAGGAAACAAATGACATAATTTAATATAATATATAAAACTAAATCCTAATTGTTTTTCCAAACCTGGACAGTCTTCATGTAATATCTCTAATTGGATCTCCTTGACTAGTCTACAGCTTTTCCTGTGGTTCAAGTCCATTTTGTACAATTTCAATCCTGGGATGATATGTGAACACTTTGCTCCAAGTGATCTTTTGCGCTCAGTTTGAGCAAAGAACAGTTTGTCTTTGGATTTGTTGATGTGCATGGAAAATGAAAACAGAAGACACAAGTTTCTGAGTTTTCTGAAGTCACGGCCCACGGGTCTGTCTAATTGTTGATGACATCAAAAGAAACTTCACCACCCAATAAAAATCTAGTCAACAGAAGAAACGCATGCTCATGCTTAGTGCTTATGATCAAATAGTTCCTTCCCTTATGAATGTTCTCCATTTTTCATACCACGATAAGCATGGACCAGGATTTGATTCTGTTTAAAGATAGAATTTATAGGAAGAACAATTTTAACAGTTATTGGTGCCTGAGGTTGTATGGAAATATTGAGTCAGTTAAAAATTTTATGATCTGCCGCTAAGGGATGCTATATGTTTATATTTGTGCGTAGCAAATGTCTGTCTGCATACGGCTACATCTGTATTGTCTGTTGCATACTTGTACATAAAAAAAATAATGGCAATTTTTTTCTACATTAAGAGTTATTTTCCAATCCTTGAACAATTAGAAAACAAGATGCGGTGTCCTGGAGCTCATCTGAGATTTAAAAAAAAATCTATGAATTATTATTTCATGTCAAATTGCTAAGGGTGTGTTTAAGCCACATTATTTTGGAAGAATGTATTTTGGAATAGTAGATTGATGGAGAATGTGTGGTTGAAAAAGAAGGAAAATTTATTGATGTGATGGAAAATATTAATTTATTGAAGAAAGTGTAGTCGAAAATGAGTAGAAAGCAAAAATTATTTGACTAGAAAACGTCCATTAAAAATTATGAAAATTTAATAGAGAATATAAAACTCATTTACGTACATCATATTAAAGGTGTGTTTAAGCCACATTATTTTGGAAGAATGTATTTTGGAATAGTAGATTGATGGAGAATGTGTGGTTGAAAAAGAAGGAAAATTTATTGATGTGATGGAAAATATTAATTTATTGAAGAAAGTGTAGTCGAAAATGAGTAGAAGAATGAAAATGAAAATTTTAATGTGGCTCAAACATGGGCTAAATGTGTAATTACTTCTACTGTATATTGTGTAAAAGAGGGAAAGAGAGAGATCCTAGATGCAACCTTCTAAATTCTCTGATTACTGGTATATCGTGATTTAGATGAGATTATGCAATATTGCTACAATCATTTAGTTATCAGTGTTTATGGATGACTGTTTGCCTGATATTTCTTTTCTAAACATTGCAGATATCTGAAGTGGTAAATAGCATGAAAGATTTGATTGATTATAGCCGTGAAACTGGCGCTGGTCCTATGGGTAAGCTTAATATTTTTTGATTTCTTCTTTGGATCCATTCTATCAATTTATCATAAAAAGACAATTTACACTGGAAGAGTTTAGCAAAGTTTTTCAAGGGAGTCTTTAAGATCTACATCAATTGCAAAACTCTATAAACCGAAAGGAAATAGAACAGTAGTATTGGCTATATGTTATGTCCTCTTTGATGTTATGCAGCAGGATGAAAATGTTGAGATGAATGAAAAATGAATATAACCATGAAATGGTGCAAGTATAACAGCAGAAGATAAACTAGGAGAAAGGAGATTAAGATAGTCTGGGCAGACCACTTGATGCGACATTTAGGCTGTGAGATATAATTGCATGAATCTTGAAAGGTTAAACAAAGATGAAATGGAATGAGGTGATTAGAAAACACAAGATTCTTTGTCGACTGTGGATTAATGGCCCTTGAGGGATCTGAATGGAAGAACATGATCAGTATGCCCGACTTTAGCCTAAATAAACATAATTGAGTTGACTCGAGCATTTCATTGATATTCTCTGAAGTGTTAAAGATAGAGACGCAGTGGCTCAGGACTGGACATCTAATTTTTATTTGATCCAAGTTGATGCTGGATTTTGGACAATGTTTAACATGCATTACAAGTATATAACAATGAAGATTGTGCTCATTTTGGAACCAGAAGTTATTCTCTTCTTTTACCTTGCTCTTCTACTTTACTCTTCCGTCTTTCTACCTTTACTTGATCTTCCAAAAAATAGTAAAATTGAGTTACCACTTTGTTTAACAACGTATCGTTGTAAGATAATTCCATGCAATTCATCTGTTTGGTTGAATGTAAATGACTTGGGGCATCATGACATCAGCCAACTCTGTTTAATGCGTGAGTTAGCGAGGAGGGTGTGAAATTGTCTTTTTATGACACAAAAGATAACCTCTAAAGTTTAAATAGTTTTTCCTGCTAAACTGGGGGTTAAAAGGTCCATTATCTGGTCTGAGATGAGCATCTCAAAACTTCATGGTGGCATTCCCATTAGTAGCATGATTTATACTTGCCTGCTTAGAAGGCAATTCAAAAGTATAATTTGGGTTTAGTATAATAGTTAGAAATGAAATGAGGAAGCAATTTGACATTTTCACCTAGAAACCAAAGAATTGTGCGTGAATGAGTGGCTTCCTGTCCCTCTTCCTTACCCATTGCTGAGTTGCTAAATCATGAAACCACCCCAAATGTTTCCTCTCAACTCTACAAAATTCACAGTATAATATATATTCTGTAAAATACAAATCCATCTTTTCGTTATTAGAGCTTTAAGAGTGTCGTCTCCAATCTTGATTGTGACAATTGTTTGTAGATGCAAATGTCAATTAAAACATTATCACTTACGGTTTTTCTTCAGAGAGCTTGGCCAAGATTCCTAGGCGAACAAATACTTCACCTGGGAGTTTTCAAGGTCAGTTGCAACAATCGCAGCAGCGGCTTCAAGTAATGGGACCGAACTCGAACAATGATAGCACTTTCCAGGCTGCTTCAGTGCAACTTATTACTGGCAATAACATGCCAGGTGTTAATGACAGTCTGAACATGGCTTCTGGAAATTCCTCTACGAGTACAATTGTTGGGCTTCATCACCCGAATTCCAGACAACAAAACCTGACATCTAACACAAACAGTCCCTTTGGAGGAAATACTGTTCAAATGCCTTCCCCTGGTTCTTCAAATACTATGCCACAGCCTCAGCCTAGTCCTCCTTTCCAATCACCAACACCATCCTCATCTAACAATCCACAACAAACTTCAAATGGAGCTCACATGCATTCTGTAAATTCCCCAAATGTCGTTATGCGGCAGCCAACTCTTTCCATGAATGCAGATGCAAATGATTCACAAAGCTCTGTTCAGAAAATTATACAGGACTTGATGTCGAACCAGTTTAGTGGGGGTGGCATGACGGGCATTAGGACTGTGAGTAGTGATGTGAAAAATATTAATGGGATGTTGTCAACAAGCAATAATGCTGGTATAAGAAACGGTGTGGCCAATAGTAATCCAGGTATAGGGGGAGTGTTTAGGAACGCGGGCAACGGATTTGGCCAACCTGCCATGGCCAATGGGATTCGAGCTGCAATGGGTAGTAACTCTATGAATGGAAGAGAAGGGGACGTGACAATGGCACGAGATCAAAGCGCTAATCAGCAGCAGCAGGATCTAGGAAACCAACTACTTGGTGGTCTTGAGGCAGTTAATGGTTTTAATAATCTTCAATTTGATTGGAAGACGTCTCCCTGATAAGGTCGCCATTCTCTTTGATTGCAGCTACTTGTGCGACATGGAATATTCAAGAGTTCACTTTTAGTATTCTGGAATGTTGTAGTGCATAATGGGATAAGGATAGCCGCTCTCTTCTCTCTGCAGTTGTACTAATTCATAGGAAATGAAAATATATAGCATAGTTTTTCATGATTTGAAATGTTACATCTTAAGTTACATTTTCATTTTTTTTTCCTTAACTGGAATGTCTGGTTTGTGACAGCTGCTTACCTTGAGGCATGTTTGTTACCTAGTTTAGGTAGGATAATAGAGAAGATTTTAGTTGCTTTTTCTTCTTTAGTACCCCGTTGAATACTGTACAGTCCACCTTGAACGAGGCACAATAATTTTGGTAGGCACACCATGAGTGACTCAGCCATTGTAATCGGCTCAATCTGTGCTTCCTATTATAGCTTTTCTCGAGGCATTTGTAAACTATTTGTGTTTTGAGTCTCTGCCTCCATTGGAACTTACCTGAGTTGCCAAGAATTCGTTCAACATTGATTCAGTTGACCTTAAAAAGTTTATTTAGGGCCCGTTTGGAAGGATTTTGCTTTTACTTAATTTCTTGTGAAAGAGCTTTTATTTTAGATTTATTTAAAAGCTCTTTTAGTCAAATTATTTAAGCAGCTTCAAAAGTAGTTTTTTGGGTCTTGTAAGAAGCTTTTGACTTTTAAAAAGTGTTACCAAATGGGTCCCCAATGAGTTTGTTCTGGTCATTTTATCTATATGTAGCGCGGCTCTTTGTAGTTTGTTTGCATGGCTACAGAAATAGGTAGCATCATCAAGAAAGGAAAATTAAACCGAATTAACCATGTGAAGAAAAAAAAATTCATTTATAATGCATTATGCATATATACCTTTGATTCTAACATGAAAAACAGTTCTTGAGTTTGAGTCTGTATTCCTAATTAATAATTTATCTTAAAACACTTGAAATAATTACTTTTAAGACAATAAAATAATGGATTAATAATAGGAAACCCGTCTAGAAAAGTTTTCATTTGTGATATGCCCCGTTACCATTGGAAATCACATAAAATTCCCTTATTTGAAACATTTTGGGCGAAAAAATTCCCAACCGTCAAATTTTACATTAAAAATAGTAAAAATGTCAAAATTAAAAAGTAATTATTACAATTTTAGTGTCCAAACTTATTATTCTTTTATAAATTATAATCAAAATTTTATTTTATGTACCACCCGCAATTCTAAACTTTTATAACTTTATTTTCCGTCTCAACATACTTTATCTTCTTCTCCAAAATTTTATTATTTTATTTAATCCCTTCTAAAATTCTTTTAAACCCATCACCCCAAATTCATCATTTATTCTTCTCATTAACAATGAAAAATCATAATCAATACACTCGTACAGAATTTAATAGAAAGTATTTACATGCGCTCAAATAAGAGCAATTTAANTCATATGCACTCAAATAAGTGCAATTTACCTATTTTATATTGAAATTAAAATAAATTTAAAACATTTACACAGTGGATGAACGCATACCTAAAAGTGGTAAGAGTAGGGCTCGCACGTGGGTTGGGTTGGATTGATTTTGAGTCCAATCCAAACCCAACCCAATATATTTGGTTTGACAATAATTCAAACAGAAATCAACCAATTTAAGATTGAAACCCAACTCAATCCAAACCGACCAAACTCGGGTTGATTGGTTTGGATTTAAGTCTAATTCAAGTTGGACAATTTTTTTATGGTCCCAATGGTTGAGACATTTTTCGTTGAATTTGAACAATTTTTTTAAAGTTTGATACCATTTCAATTTGGACAAATTTACATTAAAAAGAGTGATTTGAAAGGCCTTAAGTCGATTGAAGTTGGATCAATGCTTCGTGGGGTTAAGTTCCATTCCTATAGAACAATATAAATTAAAAATATTGTAAAACATGTTAAATAGATTATATATTGATCAAATTAAATACATATTAAATCAATCTAAATACATGTTGAATATTTGCATATTATAGCTATTGAATAAAATGAATTCAACCTAAATACTAAAAATGTTAAATCATCCAAACTCAATACAAAATCTCCTCCTTTAATTCAAGTGCTTAGTCAAAAATCACTTCAAAAAATCGAGTAGAGAAGTCGATGCACGAGAAGCAATGAGAATCTGAAGAGACAAAAGGCAGAAGAGACGTGATGCAGAGAAGAATTTTAATCATTAGGTTTTAGGTTTTGGTTTTAAGTACTAATTTTCTTTTTAATATTTTTTTGGGTTAGATTAGGTTGTGTTGGGTTTTAGTAGATAACTCGGAACCCAACCTAACCTAATCCAACTTAAAATTTGATTTCCTAATCCGAACCCAACACAATTGAACTAAAAAATCAATCCAAATCGGTTGGTTTGGGTTCGGTTGATCGATTTGACTAGTTCGGATTGATTTTTGCCCAACCCTAGGTAAGAGAGAGAATACTGATTGTCACTTATTGATTTTTAGATTAAACTTTAACTAAACTCCTATAGAATGAAATGTACATTATAACTATTTTAATGTCAAGTATACATACAAGTGGAAAGAACAAAAATGCTCAGGCTAAATAATCTCTTTAAGAAACTTCAAATTGGTAGTCAAAAGCACTTTTCTTAGCTCCTAAATCCCTCACCCCAAAGATCCCTATTTGGAATGAGAAGAAGAAACGATGAATTTGAAGTGAGGGATTTATGAGAATTTTGAAAGGGATTAAAAAAATGATAAAGTTTTTGGGAAGAAGATGAAGTGGGGTGGGGGTGGAAATTAAAATTTTAAAGGTTTGAGATCGTGGGTGGTACATAAAAAAAAATGGGTATAATTTGTAAAAAAAAAAAAAAAAAAAATTGGATACTAAAAATGCAATTATTACTTTTTAATTTTGATATTTTTACTGTTTTTAACGGGAAATTTGACGGTAGAGAGTTTTTCGCATAAAATGTTTCAAATAGAGGATTTTCTGCGATTTTCAATAATTAGGAAGTATATCGCAAATGGAAACATTTTTAGGGGTTTTTTCTGATATTAATCCTAAAATAATTTATAGTCAGTGTATCATCTTTATTCTTACTTCCAGCACCACTTATTATGTCTTAATTTTATTTTAAAGATTTATACATTTATTTCGTGTGTGGTACACTGAATTAAGGAACTAAATTTAAATTTAGAGCAGATGTTGTGTACGTAGTATTAACTTGGGTTAATGTATTTTATTTTAGTTTTTTTTTTTATTTAGGAGAACATTATTTACACTATCTTAAGCTAAACGGGCCCGTTTAATTCTCATTATTGTAGAATGAGAATGAAAAATATAATCGTTATTGGGCTCCACACAAGAGATATAAATTCAAAATTGATGGTTTGATCATTGATGTGATGAATAACTGTCATATTTTTCATTTTTATGGATGAAACATGAGAAACAAACCGGGGCCTAATGTGAAATGAGGAAGTAAGTTGAGGTCGAAAAAGAAAGATAATACAAAAAAATATTATTTTAAGTGGAAATTACAGGGATAAAGAGATTTGGAGATCTCAGTTTATAAATCATGGATCATGTTTACTAAGCCCCTGTTTGGACATCATTCTGAGAAGATTATAATAAATAAATCGACCGTTATACAGTGCGTAGGGCCATACTTTGGCAGCATTGTTTGACTTTGGTATCTGTAGTGAATAAAAAAAGTCGGTGAAAAGACCATAATACCCCTAATTGTCGCAATCAGTTTTCATAAATTGGACAATTTTGACATTTGAAACTTCAAAAAGTCTAGCAATTCAAAAATAAATCAATCTACCATACACAATTTCAATTCCAAACCCTAATTATCTCTCTCCCTTCACTCTCTCTAAACCTCTTACCTCTCCATTCTCTCACCCTCTCTCTAACCTCTCGCTAGCAATGAGAGTTGTACACGACGATCGGTGCAACTGTAGATCGCGCGGCCTCTCCATTTTTTCTCTAGTCACAGATGGTTGTGTTTGCGTTGTTGGGTGGTTGTGGTTGTGGTTGTGGTTGTGTGAGATTCCAATGCTATTCTCGATGTGTGTGAGATTCTGATGGGCACAGGTGGTAAAGTAATAGTGATGGCGAGTAGTATTCTGGCAAGATTGAGGATAACGCAGATTGTTTTCAGGGATCAAGGAATCGAGAACAACCTGTAAATCTGGTATTCGATTCTTACGATCTCATTTCACCAGGGTTGTGACATGCAGGTGGTTGGGGGTTGGGTTATCATGTTGTTGTGGTGGTGGTGGTGCAATGCAAGTGGAGGTGGTGTTTGTGGTGCAAGCTGTGGTGATGGTGGTGCATTCTAAGTGGTGAAGGCAATGGCGCTTTGAAGGTTGTGGCAGTGGCGGTGATGGTGTGGCGGCGGCGACGATTGTGGCGGTGGAGTTGGGACGATGTGATAATTATTTCGATGTTGTGACCAATAAGTAATATGTGACATGTAAAATTTTTGATTTGTGATAAAAAAAAATAATGTTACTAATTAATTTGTGACTAATAAATAATACGTGGTCTACAAATTTGTTATGTTGTGACCAATAATTTGATAATTTGTTACTTAGAAATAATTTGTGAGCAAAGCATTTGATATTTTGCGACCATAAAATAAGTGTGGTTTATAAAATTTGGGACCGAAAAATAAATTGTGATCTATAAATTTTTTGATTCGTAATCGAAAAATAATTTGTGACTTACGAAATTTTTGAACTGTGAGGTAGAAAAAGCTCGATAATTTGTGATCAAATTATATGGAATTGTGACTTTCATATATTTAATCAATAAAGTATATATTTAATTAATTATTTAATAAATAAAATTTAATAATATCTGATTTTTGAAGTTTTAAACCTTATTTCTTAGTTTTGAAATGAGTCATAGTTAAATTCTTATACGGGAAATTTTCCCTTCTTTTAATGAAAAACTCGTAAATATTACCCATCTCAATTTACTTTAATTTTATCAACATAAT